CACGGGGGTTGAGAAGGGGTGGGGGGGGGGGGGTACTTGAATGTATTTTTAAGATTTGAGTGTCACTTTAAAGATCTGTAAAGATGTGAGAAGATAGTTGGATGCACAATTCACCTGCCCTCAGTGTGTTTTGAGTTTTGTTTTCTTGCTGCACATTATTGATGACAGGAATTGGGTTACATTGTTGCAGCACAAATTGAAAGGGAAACCATTGACCCGGCCAAACTCCTATTTCTCTCTAAGGGATCATTCACACCAGAAACTTGCTAAACACAAAGGCTGGTGTGCATGTGCCTGGCATATTGCATTGCTGATCCTGGCACAGTGCTGATCCTGGCATATTGCATTGCTGATCCTGGCACATTACATTGCTGATCCTGGCACATTACATTGCTGATCCTGGCACAGTGCATTGCTGATCCTGGCACAGTGCATTGCTGATCCTGGCACATTACATTGCTGATCCTGGCACATTACATTGTTGATCCTGGCACATTACATTGCTGATCCTTGCACAGTGCATTGCTGATCCTTGCACAGTGCTGGTCCTGGCACAGTGCATTGCTGATCCTGGCACAGTGCATTGCTGATCAGGGCACTGTTTACTTTTTTTTCTTTAGAACTATTAAAATTTCCCAAGTGACCTTTCATAAAGTTCTATGGGCACAGCATAGTGGGAGTTGGTTGTACCGTGTGGCATCCTGTCTGTAACTAGGTAAATTGTGTGTATTCAGATTCATAGAACAGATCACTGAATAGAGATTTTCGATAAATTTGGTGTCATTTCAGCAGAATGTCAACCAAAACTTTTTCTTCTGTTTAGGACAGAGCGGGGAAAGGAAAACTGCCTATGTATCTGTGGGGGGATTTCCATCTCACTTCCTGTCGAGTCATAAGGACAGGAAGTGAGGGGGAATCTCAACACTAATTCATGCAGCAATATAAATTATAGAGTGGGGAAGGGTTAGAGGAGGGGTGGGAAACTCCAGCCCTCCATCTGTGCTTTAACTACAAACCCCACCATGCCTGTTTCTCTGGGAGTCATGCCCGTTACTGTCAGTCTTAGGGTGCCCACACACCTTACGATAATCCTACGATTATGTGTAGCATGCCCGTAAGATAAAAGTCGGACGGGCCGGTGTGCGCAAGCGAACACTGCCCGTTCGGCATTGCGGTCATCGGAAGCCCGCCCCTCAGGGGGGCGCGGCTTGCGATCATCGCAAATACGATCTGCCTGTCCAAGATAGGCAGATCGTACGTTTTTTAAATTACCTTACAACCCTCGCAAGACAAGAGTCTTGCGATGGTTGTAAGGTGTGTGCCCAGCATTACAATGCTTCATGCGACTTGTAGTTCTACAGTAGCAGGCGGGCCAGAGCTACCCACCCATGGCTCAAGCAGTGACCAGTGCGGGTATGTTAATTTGTAATCTGAAGAGCGGGCAGGACAAAGGGCAATATCAGAATCTCTGGCAAATGTCACTATTTTTGTGCTAGGTATCCATATGACAGCGGGGTGGGGGGATCACAAGAGCTTGTATATTACTATACAGACAGGTAAAGCTGCATTTGTTTCGGTTTCCCAAAAGGTGTAAAAAATAAGATATGCAGCTCTTCCGGCAGCGCTCGTTACTGATAAGAGCAGCTATATATATATATATAAGACGTGGGGATTTTTGTTGTAGACTTTATGGCCTGCGTCTGGTTAAGCATTAGATAGGCTTGTTAGGAGAAGCTGTACTGTAGGCGGCTGGCAATTGATCTGGACTACAACTGATTGATTGCTGTTTGCAGACTTGTCTAGTACAGTGTGTAGAAGGTCAGGGCTAGAGAAATCTCGGGAGCCAGGTCACCAGCGCTCCTTAAATTATAGCCGGCAACAACTTTTGAGGTTTTCTGTTGCTCTCAACGGGGCTGGCTCCTGAATGAAAATCCTGCTGGCTCCTGGACTCCATATAAATGTTTACACCCCTTCTAAAAGTCATCCTTTTGCTGTTCAAACTGTTCGTTTGGAGAGTATATTAAGCGGTGCTGGCACTGATAGCATTAGGTTAACCTGTAATGGGCTGCTTTAAATTTGCACAAGTCCATTTTAACAAAGTAGGGGTTTCCCCCGTATAACAGGTCTCCTTTACACCCTTTAAGTGCCTTCGATTTACGTGCTATTTTGCCCAACCTATAGCACCATGTATAACAACAGCCTTCGGATGTCAAGACAACAGATGTTTTATTCTCATCTTCTTGTCTCCCAATGTCGTGGGTTTTTTTTATATACGTATTGTGTTTTGATACGGATTGTTTGAATTCTGTTAAAAATGCTAATAACTGATTCAACACTAAAAGTGGTCCTTAAAAAGGAGAAACACAAACTAGCGTCCTCCCGTCACCCTAGGCTCAGTATACCGCAAGCTGTAGCTCTCGGTATACTGGGACGCCGCAGTATACCGCGAGCTGCTGTTAGCGGTATACTGAGACGCCGCAGCTGAAGCGGATCCCGACAATTATGTCTCGATCCGCCCAGCTGCGTGACTGACAGCTGGCTCTGCCTATCTAGAGGCAGAGCCAGCTGTACCCGCCCCCTCCCCCGTCCGTTCCGCCAGTCAGCGCTGGCGGATCGGAGCGGGGAGGGGGGAATCCAGCCCCTCCCCTGTCACGGCAGAGAGCCGTGACAGGATCGAGAGGTGAGCGAACGCCGGTATGTGTTCGCTCACCTCCCGATCTACTGAGCCGACCTGTAACAGTCTCATTGTCACAGGTCGGCTAGAACTATGAGGATGAGAGAAAAGCACTCACCTCATAGTTCTCCTTTAAACAGTTCAGTCAGCAGATCACAGCTTTTCACAGCAATGAGCACACCTTTTAGAGTAATGATTTAGTTTTAGGAATAAAGTCAATTTTTATCCTCTTTTGACCCGCACTATTTTGTAAATATATTGTGAATGTTTTTAATATATTCTTCTCCTGCGTAGATGGCTGTACTGCTCGGTGTCTCCATCTACAATCACAATTCCAGTTGTTGGCCGTCCAGTTTAAAGCCATTCACTTGATGGCACTGAGAAGTAATAGGACAGAAGTATTTCCTTCCTGAGCTCCTTGGCTCCTTTTAGTGGCCATAATGAAGCGTAGAACAAATGGCTCTGTAAACTTTTGATAAATATACCCCATACAACAGGGATAGGCAACCTTGGCATATGGGATGCCAAGGTTGCCTATCCCTGTTGTATGGGGTATATTTGTACAAAGCTCATCTTGCCTCTTGTAGTTCCATATCAACTGGAGTGCTGAGGCTGCCTACCCTCAGAGGTGGAAACATTGATATGGAATTTAGGAGCCAGTCTGTCCAATCCAGTAGCTAGCAGGATTTTGTTTTAGGCGCCGGCTCCATTGATGCCAAATAGAGAAAAAACCTTAAAAGTTAGGCACCAGCTGTATTTTTTTTTTTTTTTTAAGGAGCATTGGCGACCTGGAATTTGTCCAGCCCTGGCCTACCCCTGCCATAGAGTATTTTATATGTGGGCCAGATCATTTTTCAACACTCAGTTTCTGTATATGACATTATTGTTTTTAAGTAAAAACGTTGAAATCAACCGAATAATAATGACAACTATAAAAAGAGATGCAAGTCATAAAAATCGTGGCTTGTCCTAACTTTATTGGTCATCGTAGAATGTAACCCCTTATGTTGGTGGTCATGGAAAGTTGCCCTCTTGTATTAGAGGTCAGTTTTTTGGCAGATATATGTCAGGAGATTAATTTGCCATTACTCATGGGTAAGGGAACCCATTGGAACCCCTGCAGGAACTCTGGTTAAGAAAGATTGCTCCAACTGCAGTAAAGCGCAAGACCCCAATCTTGGCCCCTCTTGGTGGAGCGGAGCGCTTACATTCCTTTTGCTTTACCTTAATATAACATGTGGGAAGTTGTGATATCTCTGCATTGCCTCCCAAGCCTCCTACTGTTTCATACAGACCATATCCAGCATCCATAAATTCTTCTACTTAACTTCTCCCGTGACAAGTTTCCATTACAGACAGGCTAAAATGGCAGCGAAAAAGCCCATGATTACCTTTCCGCCTACTTCTAGAATGAAAACATTCTAGTGCAAGTCAATGGACTGTCTCAAAGTGACAATAATCTCAGGAATTAATTCTTAACATTGGTTTCAAGTACCCTGACATTTAACATCAATGTATCTTATTTGTGTATCACTCGGCTGTAGATCCTCCAATAATATCTGCATTGGTGCTGGCACTGTCCTTCCTTCTGGAGGGGGCTATGTCTGTTCCCCATGGTCCCTATGTGTGTTGCAAGGTAGTCACCGCTCCAAGCTCGCTCCCCGGATGGACTACAATCTCAATACAAATGAGTAAACTAAGCATGAGATTGTAGTCCATCACAGGAGTGAGCTTGGAGCGGTGACTACTTTACAACACACACAGGGACCATGGGGAACAAAAGTAGCCCCCCTCCAGAAGGAAGGACAGTGTCAGCATCATAGCCCTGCATCATGCAGGACGTAAAGGGAAAAGTTCATAGACTGGAGGGGAGAGAGGTGAGCGCTGAGTGTCGGGGGAGCAGGGATCAGGTAAATGTCCTCTTCATTAATCAGCAGGTAACCCTCACAGTGTGGGGGGTAGACTCATTGCAAAGGTAGTTGTTTTTTTTTCGTCCCCC